AGGAGTGAGATGGAAACTTGGTAGTGGATCTAAAGTGCGGGTTTGGCAAGACTGGTGGTGTGGTGAGGGGGTCCTGGATAAGGAATTGTCACGACCCAACCCCAGGAGCTTAGGGTTGGAATCGCAACTTACTAACTTATTCTTATTCGTAGCAAATTAAGATACGCAAGTGGAAATAAAAATAATTAAACATAAATTTTATTTCATTTTACTATTTAAGAAAGAGGAAATACATTTCTAGGGTTTTCGTTATTTTATTATTCAATGACCAGCCCCGAATAGAAACAAAAGGAAGCAAAAATATATATATAAAAAAAAAGAAAGATAAAATAGTGATTCAACATCAGTCCATGTGCAGGTTCTATTTTGTGGGGTTATGGGTTTCCTTTACATCTCGTCACCTGAAAGGGTAACAGTCATAAGCACACAGCAGAGTGAGAAATATTATGCCAAGAGTGTAGGGATCTCGTCACCTGAAAGGGTAACAGTCATAAGCACACAGCAGAGTGAGAAATATTATGCCAAGAGTATAGGGAATACAAAATAACCATAGATAATTAGGTAGGCTAAAATATTTGCATAATTTAATTTAAAATGACAGTTTATTTAAAGTGGCAGAATACAGAAATCATGTAAATAAATAATCATAACCACGGTATAAAACAGAACAAAACAGAGGTCACACAAGTGACAGTCAGAACAGAGGTCAATGGATCTATGACAAACAGAGGACCACAAAGTGGTCAAACAGAAGCCAATAGTTATTTAAGTTTCCCAAGGCGTGGGACTCCCGTGGTTGTACTTACAAAACATAATTGTTTATAAGGTTATAGTCAAATATATACTAAAATTTAAACAAACATATCCATGGGTTTCCTTTTTAAGTAATTAGAGTTTAGAAAGTAACCCACGTAACTGAAATATTTATAAACATAACTTTTATTTATATAACTTAATAAATATAACTTGTATAAAATAAGCTATGGTAACTCAAAACATTCGTAAAACATATAAGGATAAAGCAAGGGATAATCTAACTCACCTTAATTACAACCCTTAGCCTTACTTTACTATCAGAACTTCCCTACTATAGATTCCTTACACTCACTTACGTACCTCTCTCTCTCAGCTTCCCCTCTTTCTTTTGTTCTTTCGTGTTTCCTCCCCTAATTCGCAACACCTTTACCCCTTTTTATACTGTTAACCGAGCCATGATGGACAGCTACGTACCCCTCTCTCTCTCGAGGTCATAATGATGCTAGGTGATTGAGCTTTTAATTGTGGATTCAATATAAGATTTGAATCTTTTCAGGATAAGATTAAATCTTATACTTGGGCCATTTTTCTTTTTTTTTCTTTTGGGCCGAAATTCACAAGCAGCTGCTGGGCCAACAAATTTTCATTTCCTTTTCTTTTTATTCATTTATTCATTTGTTTTGATGTTAAGCTTTTTCAATGTTCCTAATTTAAATTAAATTACATCTTATTTTATTTTTATTTTTTTATCATTATAAAATTAATTATTTTATTTTACTTTACAGATTATTATTATTATTCTTGTTAGCAATATTATTATTTATTTATTATCTTTAGTTTGACCCAACTAGTATTATAATTCCATAAATGTGTTAATTTGCCCCAATAATAATAATTCCTAATTAATCCTATATTTGATAACCCAAGCCAAATTAAATTTATATATTCATTTATTTAATAGTCTATCATCACATACAACCATAATTATATTTAACTCTAAATATTTATGTGGTACTTAATTAAACGGTCGGGGTGTCACATTCTCCCCTCCTAAAAAGGAGTTTGTCCCCAAACTTGACGTACCTTAATTTCCGAAGAGGTGTGGGTATTTGGTTCGCATTTGACTCTCCGTTTCCCACGTAGCTTCTTCGATGCGATGATTTCGCCATAAGACCTTTACCAGCAGTATGGTCTTGTTTCGGAGAACTTGATTACGATGATCGAGAATCTGCACTGGTTGTTCTTCGTAGGTGAGATCCTCTCGAACTTCCAAGTTCTCAAAGTCGATGACATGTTCTGGATCTCAGAGATACCGTCGGAGCATTGAAACGTGAAACACGTTGTGGATATTAGATAGCTCAGGAGGTAGTACAAGGCGATGGGCTACAAGACCAATTCTTTCCAGTATCTCGAATGACCCGATGTAACGTGGGTTTAGCTTTCCGTGCTGCCCGAATCGGATCACTCCTCTTATTGGTGAGATTTTGAGAAACACATGATCTCCTACTTGAAATTCCAAGTCTCGTCTCCGAGTATCTGCATAACTTTTCTGGCGGCTCTGAGTAGTGTGAATCCGCTATTGGATGAGTTAGATTTTCTCACTGGTGATTTGTACGATTTCGGGGCATAACAATTTCCTGTCCCCGACCTCCGTCCAGCATAGAGGTGATCTACATCTCCTTCCATACAGAGCTTCGTACGGCGCCATTCCAATGCTTGCCTGATAGCTGTTGTTATAGGAATTCCACCAAAGGTAGGTGCTCATCCCAGTTACCTTTGAGGACCAACACGCATACACGTAACATGTCTTCCAATGTTTGGATTGTTCTTTTGGATTGCCCATCAGTTTGTGGATGATAGGCCGTGCTGAACTTTAGTGTAGTTCTCAAAGCTTCTTGCAATTTATTCCAGAAGTGAGACACGAAACGAGGGTCTCGGTCAGACATGATTAATACTGGGATACCATGTAACCGAATAATCTCCTTGCTATATAAAGTGGCAAACTTATTCAGAGGGTACATGATTTTGATTGGTAGAAAATGTGCTGACTTTGTCAATCGGTCTACTATAACCCATATTGCATCATTCTTTGAAAAAGTCTGTGGTAGCCGACCACGAAGTCCATAGTAATGTATTCCCATTTCTATTTAGGAATAGGGAGTGGTTGCAGCAGTTCTGCAGGTCTCTGATGTTCTGCTTTAATACGCTGACAATGCAGACATTTGGAAACATGGCTTACTATATCTCTTTTCATTTCGGTCCAGCAGTAGTGTTTCTTCAGATCATGATACATCTTTGTGTTGCCAAGGTGGACTGCAAATCTCGAGTTATGAGCTTCCTCCAGTATCTTCTTCTTGAGTTCTGGGATGTCGAGTATGCAAATTCGATTCTGAAATTTCAGTGTCCCATTGTTTATAATGAAATCAGGATCAGGCTTGTTTCCTTGTTCCTCGTACCTTTTCTTCAAGAGTTTATCTTCCCATTGGCGTGCTTTAATTTCTCCAAACAATGTAGGCTCCATGGTTACATTGGCGAGCAACCCATTGATCTTACGAAAAATGAGAGTACATGCCAAACTTCTCGTCGTCTTTCGGCTCAGTGCATCTGCCACCACGTTAGCTTTGCCCAGATGGTGATGAATTTCTATATCGTAGTCTTTCATAAATTCTAACCACCGTCGTTGCCTTATGCTTAGTTCCTTTTGTGTGAATAGATATTTTAGACTCTTATGGTCAGTATAAATCTCTCAGGTTGTACTGTAGAGATAATGACGCCAGATTTTGAGAGCAAAGATCACCGTAGCCAATTCCAAATCGTGAGTCGGGTAGTTCTTCTCGTGAGTCTTTAATTGTCGTGACGCATAAGCAATGACTTTTCCGTCTTGCATGAGAACGCAACCCAACCCATTATATGAGGCATCACTATAGATTACGAACCCATCTACTTCGGTAAGGAGTGCTAGTATAGGGCCTGACACAAGTCGACCTTTTAATTCTTGAAAGCAACGCTCCTGTTTATCAGTCCATTCAAAGGGTGTGTTATTCTGAGTTAGCTGGGTCAAGGGCGATGCTATTTTTGAGAAATCTTGCACGAAGCATCGATAATAACCGGCTAGACCTAAGAAACTTCAGATTTCTGACACATTAGTAGGTCGCGGCCAGTCCACGATTGCTGTAACTTTTTGGGGGTCAACCGCGATACCATCTTTGTTAATGACATGACCGAGAAAGTGTACACTAGTGATCCAAAATTCGTATTTCTTCAACTTGGCGTAGAGTTTATGATCACGTAGTGTTTGTAAAACCATTCGCAAGTGCCGCTCATGAGGTTCTGGTGACTTGGAGTATATGAGGATATTGTCAATGAAGACGATGACGAACTCATCAAGATAGGGTTTGAACACTCTGTTCATAAGATCCATGAAGGCTGTTGGGGCATTTGTGATGCCAAAAGGCATGACGAGAAATTCGTAGTGCCCGTAACGGGTTCTGAAGGCAGTCTTTTCAATGCTTTCCGTTTTAACTTTTAGCTGATGGTAGCCAGAACGTAAGTCAATTTTGGAAAATACTTGCGCGCCTTGCAGTTGATCGAACAAGTCATCGATTCACGGCAGAGGGTATCGATTCTTGATGTTAACCTTATTCAGCTCCCGGTAATCGATACATAATCTCATTGTGCCATCATTTTTCTTCACGAACAATACTGGAGCTCCCCAGGGTGAGGTACTAGGTCGAATGAAACCTTTGTCTAAGAGTTCCTGGAGTTGAGTCTTCAGCTCTTTCAATTCTGTCATTGACATGCGGTAAGGAGCTTTTGATATAGGTTGTGTGCCAGGTTGGGTTTCAATGGTGAATTCGATTTCCCGATCAACTGGAATACCGGGTAGATCTTCAAGAAAGACATCCAGGAATTCTTGAACCATAGGAATTGCATTAACGGTGGGGGCCTCTTTTTGTGTATCAATCACATAACAAATATAACTATCACAACTCTTTCTTAGAAGTCGTTGGGCTGCCATGGAGGATATAATACAGGAAGGGTTAGAAACTTCAGCCCCATCAAAGATAAGTTCGGGTTGGTTTTGTAACTTGAGGGAGACCTTTTTGGCTTTACAATCGATAGAGGCGTGGTTGGCAGCCAGCCAATCTATACCTAAGATTACATCAAAGTTTCCAATGCGAAGGGGAATCAAGTCTACATATAAGGTTTTACCTTTTAGGAATATAGCACAGGATTTGTACACATCAGTACTACAGGCAGATTTACCAAAAAGAAAAGACACAGACAATGTATATCCTAATGGTTCGGGTGTTGATGTCAACTTGGCAGCAAAGTGTGGTGCAACAAAAAAATGAGTTGACCCAGAGTCAATAAGGACATGAGCTAAATGACTACAGACAAAAAGTGTACCTGACACCACATTTTCGGTAATTTCGATTTTCCAGGTACCAAGGCGAAAGCCCAAAATTGGCGATTTTGATCCTTCTTTTCTCCTCCTGGTCCCGCGGTTCTCCTGACTAGGCCAAAGGGGTTGGCTGTTGGGTTAACCATCTTTGGACAATCCCTTAGCAAGTGGCCAAACTGTCCGCATCTAAAACATGCTCCCGTGTCCCGATAGCATTGTCCCCAATGAGCCCTCTTACAAGTGGGGCAAGTTGGAATAGTGCCACCTCGGGAGCTGGTCGAACCTTGGTGGCCGGAGCTGGTTGTGCCCATGCTCACCTTTTTATGAGGTGCAACACCGGGTCTTCTGTTATCCCTTTTCCAGAATCGCTTCTTGAAGCTTGGTTCTCCAGAACGTGAGGCTTTAATTCCCTTTTCTGCTATGTATGCCCGATCCACCACTTCTGTATAGGTTAGCAATTTCAAGACCTCAAGTCTGTCTTTTATTCCAGCATCCAATCCCGCTTCAAATTTTCTTGCTTTTCGAGTTTTAGTGGGGATGACGTATGTTTCAAACCGAGCGAGTTGTGTGAACTTACTCTCATATTCGGCCACCATCATGGTTCCTTGCTTAAGATGTATGAATTCAGATGCCTTCTATTCCCGCAATGAATCCGAAAAATATTTTTCGTAGAATACTTCTAAGAATCTTGCCCAAGTCGTAATTTCTTCTTTGGCCAGAGTGAGAAGCCACCATTCCTGTGCATTGTCTTTGAAAGTGAAAGTGGCGAAAGTTACCTTTTGTCTCTCGATACAGGGTAGGGCACGAAAAATCTTTTCCATGTCTTTAACCCAGGCGTCTACTATCATTGGGTCTGGGCTGCCAGTAAATGTGGTGGGTTTCAGATCCTGGAACTGTTTTGTGATAACCGGCCCTTCTCGCCGTTCCGGCTTCCCATTGTTGATGTTAGTTTGTAAAGCTTGCAAAAAGCTAATAACCGCTATTGCTCTTTCCATTACCCTTTTCATCGATTCAGTGCCACTAACTGATGACTCATTCCCATTACCATTAGCCATTCTACAAGTAAAAAACGAGGCATTATATTCTCAACGCAATATATATATATATATAGCATAAGTTATATTTATATGAACTGCCAACATTACACATTTTTATTCATTATTTTATTTTTATTTTTTTACAATTCATATTACATTAGTTAGAATATGTTAGTGTCCCACCCCTGTGATAAACAAAAACAAAAGTCAACAAAAAGGGATTAGAACACATCAGGATCAGCATACAAAAGATTTCCTACTAGCCAGATCTAGAGTGGTGGGTCAGATGGGCCGAAAAACTAGGGGAAATAGTGCTGCATAAAAAGCTCAAACTCCCACCCCAACTGGATTATACCAAAACACATCCATGCTACCTGGACCGTGAAAATGGGGATAGACCGTATATGACCCACAAATACTCGGTCGACAATCCAGCCAGGTGTCTCAACATATGACAGGTCATTATCAAAGTCAACATTTTGAATATTAATGATCTCCAGTGGGTTAGGGACTATGGTGACAATATAATCTTCGGGGTACACGCTCCCCCTCCTGGCTGCAAACTCTGGGGTAGAGGGCCTATAATATACTGCGGGCAGTCGTGACCCGGGGCGACGCCAAGGACGCAAGATGATCCGAGAAAACGTCTACGTGTATGGACAAGGCTGTGCCTCCATAATAAGTGTGGGATGTCGGTAAGGTCAACCTGGATATAAATAGGCCGACCCATTAACCGGCCAAGGCCTGGGTGCAATTCCCTGACTATTTCCTCAGAATCTCCCTAACCCTCAGGTGAGGCGGGGGCAGGGTGTTTAGCTAAGATTTCATCTAAATTGATGGCCTGGAGGTCATTCCAAAAAGCATCATCAAGGTAAATCTCTGACATCCCTACAGCACCAGAATAAACGTGAGATTTACACAGAAAGACTAACGGTGCAGGTAAATATCTATTATTATTTTATTTTATTTTATTTTTATTTTACTATATTTTCTTAGCTATATAGTTTTATAAAAACTTTTTTTTTTAACCGTTGCTCTAATACCACCTTTGTCACGACCCAACCCCAGGGACTTAGGGTTGGAATCGCAACTTACTAACTTATTCTTATTCGTAGTAAATTAAGATGCGCAAGTGGAAATAAAAATAATTAAACAGAAATTTTACTTCATTTTACTATTTAAGAAAGAGGAAATACATTTCTAGGGCTTTCGTTATTTTATTATTCAGTGACCAGCCCCGAATAGAAACCAAAGGGAGCAAAAATATTTAAAAAAAAAAGAAAAGAAAGACAAAATAGTGATTCAACATCAGTCCATGTGCAGGTTCCATTTTGTGGGGTTATGGGTTTCCTTTACATCTCGTCCCCTGAAAGGGTAACAGCTATAAGCACACAGCAGAGCGAGAAATATTATGCCAAGAGTGTAGGGGCACAAAATAACCATGAATAGTTATTTAACTACAATATTTAAAATAAAATAAAAATAAATACATAAATAAATAATAAACTAAAGAAATAAATATTTACCTGCGACGTTAGTCCTTTTATGTAAAATCTCGCATTTGTACTATGACTAATTCTGGTGATATATGAATGTCTGAGCTTAATCTGAATAAGACATTTTGGGAGGGGCTCAAGGCTATAAATTTGGAGGACATTTTAGCAAAGCACCATGCCCCTGCTTCGCTAGAAGGATGGGAAGACTCAGAAGACATAGTTAGATGACTACATTTAGGCTTTGCCCAATTCATGAGTCGGCTAATATATGTACAGGCCGATCTTAATGATGTAGCATACTTATCGTGGAGGCAGAGTCGTGCCTACACGCGCGGACGATATCTCGAACCCACCCTCGTACTCGGCCTTGTCCTAGGATATGACCGCCCTCACTATATAAACTTTTATTTATATAACTTAATAAATATAACTTGTATAAAATAAGCTATGGTAACTCAAAACATTCGTAAAACATATAATGGTAAAGCAATGTATAATCTAGCTCACCTTAATTATAACCCTTAGCCTTACTTTACTATCAGAACTTCCCTACTATAGGTTCCTTACACTCACTTACGTACCTCTCTCTCTTAGCTTCCCCTCTTTCTTTTGTTCTTTCGTGTTTCCTCCCCTAATTCGCAACACCTTTGCCCTTTTTTATATTGTTAATCGAGCCATGATGGACAGCCACGTACCCCTCTCGCTCTCGAGGTCATAATGATGCTAGGGGATGGAGCTTTTAATTGTGGATTCAATATAAGATTTGAATCTTTTCAGGATAAGATTAAATCTTATACTTGGGCCCTTTTTCCTTCTTTTTCTTTTGGGCCGAAATTCACAAGCAGCTGCTGGGCCAACAAATTTTCATTTCCTTTTCTTTTTATTCATTTATTCATTTGTTTGGATGTTAAGCTTTTTCAATGTTCCTAATTTAAATTAAATTACATCTTATTTTATTTTTATTTTTTTTATCATTATAAAATTAATTATTTTATTTTACTTTACAGATTATTATTATTATTCTTGTTAGCAATATTATTATTTATTTATTGTCTTTAGTTTTACCCAACTAGCATTATAATTTCATAAATGTATTAATTTGCTCCCATAATAATAATTCCTAATTAATCCTATATTTGATAACCCAAGCCAAATTAAATTTATATATTCATTTATTTAATAGTCTATCATCACATACAACCATAATTATATTTAACTCTAAATATTTATGTGGTACTTAATTAAACGGTCGGGGTGTCACAGGAATTGTGTTTATCCAATATTCAAAATCCTCCCCCTGAACTTATCACTGTGGATTCACTTATGGATTACTTTGGTGAATGGAATGTAAATTTGTTGCATACCCTTTTTCTCTTACCTTTGGTCACTAATATCCTGAAAATCCAACCTCCCCGCACTAGGAATGTAGAGGATTATCCCAGATGGGTTAAATCACCAAATGAAGAATTCTCTACATCTAGTGCTTATGCATTGATTGTTGAGCACCTAAACTTGGAGGGGGATTGGAGTTGGGTTTGGAAGCTTAAGGCTCCTCAGAAGCTTAAGAGCTTCGTGTGGCTTGTACTCCATGAAAAGATTCTCACAAACCACATGAGAAATCTGAGGGGTCTGACTAATGACCCAAGTTGCCCGTTTTGTGGGAGTGTGGAGGACATTGAACATTTATTAAGGTCTTGTCCTAAAGCTATGCAGGTTTGGTGTGCAGTTTTTGGCCAAGATTGGTCCTCCAATATGCTTCACCTGTCTTGGAAAGACTGGTTCACCCGGAACATAAATGGGAAAAACAAACTCCATTTTTTGTTTCTTGTCACAACTTGGAATATTTGGAAAAATCGGAACAAATGGGTTTTTGAACATAAAAATACTTCTATTTTTGAGAGTGTGAATAGTATAACTAATTTTGCTAAGGCAATAGCCCAAGCTTTCAACTTAGACATTACAAAACCACTCAAACTCAAGAGCTTAACAGTGTGGTCTTGTCCTAGTGCAGGAAAAATTAAGCTAAATACGGACGGTAGCACTCGCCGGAATGGAGGAAGGGGTGGATTCGGTGGGCTATTTCGGGATGAACGCGGATCATGGATTAGCGGTTACTATGGAAGGCTAGAGATATGTACCAATTTGGAAGTGGAATTGTGGGCTGTCTATAAAGGACTTACAATTATCCTTCAACGGGGTTTCAATCAAGTTATCATTGAAACTGATGCGGAGCAAGTGGTTCATCTTTTGAGTGAAGAACCGGGGGAAAGATGCCCATTTAGAGGCATTGTGGAAGATGCTCGCATCATCTTGAGAGGCTATGAATGCTCCATTCAACATATCAAGAGGGACACCAACATATGTGCTGACGCAATGGCAAAGTTTGGGGAAAACTAACCAGTTGAGCTGCTAATAGTTTCTGAACCTCCTCAAGAACTTTGTCGTCTGTTAGTTGCGGATATTGTCCACCTCTTCGAGGAGAGAGCTAGGGCCTAGTCTCTGCTTGTTTATTTCTATTCCGATGTACCTAAAAAAAAAAAAAAAATTCACGCTATGATTTTATAATAAAATAAATTTTTAATTTTGTTAATTTAATTTTTAATTTTGTTAATTTAATTATTATTTTTGAACTATTTTTAATTTAAATCGTTTGTTTACTTTTGTTAAATAAGATGATGGAAAAAATAATATGTTTGTCATTAAATTCAATATAAGTATACATAAAATGTTTAAAATATTATTTTTCATCAAACTTAATGACTAAAATATCATTTTCAATGGATTTTACTTAATAAAAATAGATGAATTAAATTAAAAATAAATCAAAAGATTAAGAATTAAATTAATAAAATTAAAAAATCAGAATTTATTTTTTACAATGGTCAACCTTTGAACTTTTTTATAATTTTTATTATTTATGTATCATTTTGTAAAAAGATTATCTACACTTGTCTTATGACTACATTAAATAGTTAAAATATGTTCTGTGCTGCTTTGAAGGGGAGGAACACATATTATGAGATTATTTAGAATGATCTAAATAAATATATTTTTTAATTTTTTTATAAAAAAATATAAAAAAAATAAAAAGATAATATAACCTAAAAAAATTAAAAATACATATATATATATATATATATATTATTTTAGTTCATATCAAATCTATATATATAAGGAAAATGATCTTTTTTAAAATAATGATTATGGAAGCTTTAAACTTTCAAAATAATTTTTTTAATTTTTTAATTTTTAAAGAAATAAAAAAAAATTCTATTGGTTAATTCCTTAAGTCAAAAATCCAAAAACAAAAAAAGTTCTGATTATTTACAATTTTAAATTTTAAAATTCAAAACAATATGATAAGTCACTCTCACTCTTTTCAAAAATAATGTTAATCAAAACAATTCAAATAATAAAAATAAAGACACTAATTATCTATGATTTTGAATTTCAAAATTCAAAATAATATGGTAAGTTACTTTCATTCCACTCTCACCTTTTCCGAAAATAATATAAATTTAA